CCAATCCTTAAGCTCGAACTCCTAACCTCCGAGCCGCTTGAGAGCAGGCTTGGCCCCGTAATGATAAGGCACAGCGGCCCAAGCCCTTCAAACAGCAGGTTTTTTGGACCTGCAAGTAGAGGTAGTAGACTAACCCTGAAGCCTTACAGCCCTAGCCGTAGCAACATTCAAAGCGCCGTCGAAGGACAAGGGTCCCCTAAACGCGAGGCAAACGAAGTTATCGTTCGACCAGACGAAAAAATTGCCACGTGAGCCAAAGTTTGCGGCTTTCTAAGGATGTTAGCTGGGTCTAGGGTCTGTTGGCTTCAGTTGGGTTTGCAGGGTTTCGTAGGCCGTTACCGGAGTTTCGGTCGGTGTATGCAGGGAGTTTACACGGGCAGTAGTAGGATTTTACAGAGTGTGTCGGGGCTTGGAGCTTTGTCTCCGAATGGTTAGTCATAAGTTGATATGGTTCCCTTTCTAAGCTTTAGGGTTTCGGGTTTAGGGGGTCCACAGGGGTCCATAAACACCTGAAGCCCTAGACCCTTGCAGCACTATTGTCGATGTCAGTGTGCCTTACCAGCTTGTTTTCAATCATTCACGCCCCCTTCCTGAAGGACCAAATGACAATGACCCAAAAAAGCCGGGGCCCTATACCCATATACTTTGAATCTCTATATGGTATATGAACCTTATAAGCCCTTTTAGGGATCATTTCGTCCTTAAGGTTATTTGTTCTTAATGTCGTAGCGCCGTAGACTTCAGACGACCGCTTCTAGACCACGCAGCCGATGATATGCCGGAAGCCGATTCTACACCATGAGCATCATGGGAGTTTCCGAAAATAGGGGACCCGAATATAGTACCCTGCATAGTAGGATCCTGATGATAAGGACCCCAAAATACAGTATCCCTAATTTTCGGAACCTCCCATATGAGAAGCGCTTAGCACGTAACCCGAATCCTCAGAGACTATATCCCCCCCCTTCCCCGAAATACTTTAGTTCTCTCCCAAATATACCCTGAAGCCGCAACCTCCAAGCACCTCGACCTTCAACCCTAAATCTTCAAGCGCCCCAAGCCCTCCAAAAGCCTTAAAGCAATTTCTGGAACATTTTCCTGTAAACCCTCTCTCTTATGATTGCAAGACCCCTGACGAAAGCCTTGAGTATATCTACTTATGGAACAGCTATAGGCTATAAAACCTTTGAGGCCCGACTACGATCCATATGGAGGCCGTTAAAATAGAACCCTTCTATCGCCTCTGTAGGCCCTTAGAGCCTTAACAGAGCCCTTAAAGAGCACTCACAGAACCCTCGAAGGAATCTTTAGAACGCCCTCCCCTCCAGACCTGCTTGGATGAGCTGAGCTGTTCAAAGCCTCAAGCGGGTCCCAGACGCCAAAACCCCGGAGATCTACGAGTGCGGCCCTTAGAGCTCTTTCTCTCTCTCTCTCTCTCTCTCTCTCTCGCTCTCTCCCACGCGCTTCTTTTACAAGGCTAGGGGAATATGTGTGCGTAGCATAGTGTGGGCGACACACATAGTTCGAAGCCCAGGCTTACACTGCGCTCGGTTGGGAGTATGAGTGAGGTGTCAGTTCTACGTCAGTGCATTTCACAGAATTGCAACATGTGGCGAGTGAGGATCGAACTCACGACCTTAGTGTGTGCATGTGTGTATGTGTGTATACGAAATAAGAAACAGATACCTCAACAAATACATACAAAGCAAAAAGTTATATATATATATATATATATATATATATATATATACAGATAGATGTATGCATGTATGTATGTAGTTATGGGTGTATGTATGTATGTATGCATGTATGTATGTATGTATGTGTATATACATATATAGATATCTGTGTGTGTGTATATATATATATATATGGTCACCGCCCCCTTTGACAGACCATGCCCTTTCAACTCACTCGTAGTGCATGGTCTGTGACCGCGGGGGAGGGGGCACTCAGCTTTCAAAAACTCATTTCCAAAATTTCCAAAATTCTCCACTAACTTTCCGGATTTCCAAAATTTCCAAAATTACAGAAATTTCAGAAATTCCCAAAATTTCAGAAATTTCCAAAATTTCCAAAATTTCCAAAAAGTCCGCCCTTATGTTTTGGAGAAATCCTGTCGACTAGGTCGGGCCGTTTTGGAAATTTTGGAAATTTTGGAAATTTTGGAAAATTTTGAAATTTTGGAATTTTTGGAAATTTTGGAAATTTCGGAAATTTCGGAAATTTCGGAAATTTTGGAAATTTTGGAAATTTTGGAAATTTTGGAAGTTTTGGAAATTTTTGGAAATTTTGGAAATTTAGGAAATTTCAGAAATTTCCGAAATTTCGGAAATTTCGGAAATTTTGGAAACTTTGGAACTTCTGGAATTGATTTTCAATGGGCTGATTGTGACCCATCGGATGACAGACCATGCGCTACGACGCACTTGCAAAGGCAAGGTCTGTTTAGACGATTGTCAGTGTTTATATATATATATATATATATATATTTTTTTTTTAAAATTGGTACTCCTACGAATACTATTACCAATACTAATACTGACATTGATCATTTGCTGACTGCCCAAGCTAATATCAGCATCAACACTAGTATTTACATTTTTTTAAGCCAATACGAATAGGCACCATACAAATGCTAATAATGATTAATACTGACGTTCATACTCCTACGCATATCAATAATTATGCCCATATTGGTAGTAGTGTATTCTAATACCAATACTAATACACACCTGCATATACCAATGTACATAAATATACATACCACTATATTAAAGTACAAATACATTAGCTCATGCATGTATTTATCTGTTAGTATTTTCATGTAATCAGGAGTAATACTAATATAAGACAAACGTTCATTCGAATACATAACCTCATGTTAATATTAACACTAGCACTAGCACTATTACTAATACCAATCACACTGTTTATACCAACACCAAGATTTACATAAGTATTGATACTCCTCCGGATACTACTGCGTATACTCTTATGCTGTTTACAGTAATGCTGTCACCAATACTAATACTGACATTGATAACTTGTTGAATATTCAAGATAATGCCAGTATGAATACCGTTATTAACACTTATACTAAGGCTAATGCGACTATGGATAATCCTAATACCAATATTAACATTAATACTCCTACGAATACCAATAGTCATATTCATATTGATGTGAAGACTAATACCATTACAAAAGACACGTGCATATGCTAATGCACACCAGAACACATACCATTATCTTAAAATGCCGATATGTATCAATACATTCATGTACTGATGTTTTAGGACAAGCATATACCCATATACCAATGTAACAATACACTACTTGTTAATGTGTGAATATACTATACTAGTATGCTATTATACTAGTATGCTACTATACTAGTATACGACTACTGTAATATGCAAGTATACCGACATGGCAGGTTAGTGTACTAATATGACAACATACTGAACATACTGGTATACTTATAAATCTCTAAACAATACACGTATATTGCATATATTAGTATACTAATACACTAATGTACGAATAATACTGGTATGTTAGTATACTAATATATTAATACAGCAATATACTAGTTTACTCATGCATCAGGTATACTAAAGTATTAAATCTACGAATATGCAAGTATACAATTATGTTGCCTCCCGAACACGTCAATGTATTGATATACTAACCTGCTGATATACGAAACTATCAGAATAGTAACATATCGAAACTAACTCTAATTTTGATACCAGTACTAGCACCTCTGCCATTATGAACTGATATTAAACCCAGCATGAAGACTGATACTAATACTAGCAGTGGTACTAGTACTGGCATTGACACTGGCACTAACACTAAGACTAAAACGAAGATGAGCACTAACATTAATGTATACTTACTACTGTCGATATATACATATATATATACACATACTTACAGTAACCACTAATACTATTGCTGATACTAATACTAATACCAACATTAATGCTCATACTCATCCTATATCAATGCTACCACAAAACTCATAACTCACGTGTCGCGCGTCTGGTCCATGCGTCCTCAGTACATGGCATGTAAAAAGTATACTTGGTATATGTACCGTAAAGGATTTGCTTTACAGATTGTCGTCATGTGTGGTGTGTTTAGATACAATATCTCAGCCTTGTCACCGAACGAGAGTACACTATCACGAGGGCATGGTCTGTCAACGGGGGGGCGGTGAGCTATTTATATATATATATATATATATATATATATGGTCGCCCCCCCGTTGACAGATATATATATATATATATATGTGCATATACATAAACATGCTACACCGCCGCCCCCCCGTGCCCACGCTTTGTGCTGTGCTTGAAGCGAGTGCGAGAGTCTTGAAGTCCCTGCAAACCTGTCCAATCTCCACTTCCGTTCATCGCCAAATCTAAACTGCAAGTATGTTCGTCCATGCCTGTCCCATCCTGCAAGTGTAGTTTTGCGGGTACGCTTACCAATGATACGGTTACCGATACCCCTGTTCTCGTTAAAGTCATCGTACTACCAGCCCAGTTAACACTCTGTAAATATGTATATATATATATATATATATGTATGTATGTAAGTATGTATGTATGTATGACCATCTGCGATATGGTTCTTTCTCTTTGAAGCTTTGCTTGTATGTCTCTTTCGTGTTTGAGGTGTTGCGGTGTTCAGTGTTACGTCTTTCTCTCCGTCGTTGTTTAGGCGTCGGGCACAGGATCTACGCGGATGCGAACATCCAAAGCCCTAAAGGCTCCAAATCCTAAACCCTAAACTCCTAAAGTCCTGAACCCTAAAGACCCAAAGTCCCAAACCCTAAACCCTATACTCCTAAAGTCCTAAACCCTAAAGTCCTAAACCCTATAAACCCTAAAAGCCCTCGGACTTCATAGTAGGGAACCCTAAAAAGGTAGACTTTTCAGGGTTAAGGTAAACCCTATAAACCCTACACAGCCCTCAGGAGATCCGCCATGAGCAGCTTCAACTTCCTGGACGACGAGGTGAGCGAGGCGGTCAGGGGTCGAGGGAAACTCTGCAGGGCTTTAGGTTTTAGGGGTTTTGGGTTTAGGGTTTAGATCCTCCCTTGAAACCTTGAGCATCTTCCTAAAGCCTAAACCCTATAAACTGACAAGCTAACCGAGAGTTTTGTCTTTTGGCGCCGAGTGGTTTACGATTCCCTCAAGACAACCTGGAATGCCTCCGAAGCTGTAGGGTGATAGGGAGTTCGGGTTTCGGGGCTAGGGCTTGAAGGCATTCAGGTTCTAGTCTAAGAAGACGAAACCGCAAGGCTTGGATAGCCGATCTTTGGATTGGGGTCGTGCTTTTTCAACCTACGGCTTCTAGGTGCAGGGCTTCGGGGTTTAGGGTTCCGGCTGTCATGAGCTCTTCATTTATGGATTCTGGATGCTTTTCGGCCGACAGAGACACTCTTGCACCGAAGCTCCGCTCCAAGTCTCACTCTTCCATAGCACCTGCGTGGGGAGCGTTTTTGAAAGTGCGGCCATGTTAGCGTGACAGTGTTCCATAGAATCATAGCCCTGCATACACGAAGTCCTCAAGATGATCGAACGCCTACATGCAAGATCCTCACGCCATGAACAAAGCATAGAAATACACCCCGTCTTTATAAACTCGACCGCAGCGTCCTGGCTGATCCTGCTGGAACACAACTAGCGCTTTTGCAGTCTGGTGGTGTGTGTGTGTGTGTGTGTGTGTGCCAGTGCATGTCTGTATAGGGAGGTTACATCCTCCATATTTCTGGGTCTTAGACTTTACAGATTAAACGAGACACGACACGGAATACTACGGCACTCTCCCATGTTTTAGATCCCTTGCAGCGGTGGCATCCTAAATGTTCTTCTTCAGTAAATCAAGCTTCCTCCGACGTTATTCTCAGACTGGGAAGGGTGATTCAGAAGACGAGGACACCGGATTTTTTGTTGGGTCCGTGAGTAGGATCCCAGTTCGGCTCAAGATCACCGTCCCCGTATTGTCGGAAACTCCCACATATTCTAGACATTTAGACCTTTGTATTCGGAAACGTTCTCCAGGACTCGGTGTAACTGTCCATATGACAAGGACCCCACGTTGCTTGAAAGCTCACATGCAGAGATTGCAGCCGAACGCGATTTCAAGGTCTTGAAGATCCAGATGTCAGACCGAGGGTTTAGGTTTTTCGGTTTTATGGGGTGTTGAGCTCTAAGCGTTCTGGGTCAGGGCCTTGAGCTATTGGGATTTCGGCCCTAGAGCAGGATAAGATTTAGGTTTCTTCGTGGACTCTTCAGGTGGAGAAAGTGAACAAGGACCTGGCAACTTTGGACCGTGGGTGGGGAGCTGATGTTGGATTCGGGCTTCATCCATACAATCGAAGGCTAAATAAGTACCTAATTGTATTATTCTTCAGGGTTCCTTTTGTAATTTGTAGGTATAGTTTAGAAACCCCCCAGACCTTATTCTAAATATTGGGGCCCTATATTGCCGCGTCGTGGTTATGACTCGTAGCTTACATTCATCCGTGTGTAAGCACAGGTACTGATCTGCACCTCAACACTCAGACCTAAAACCCTAGCCCGGGTTGAGGGGTCAGGGTTTATGGGCTAAGGGCTTAGGGTTCAGGGTGCAGGTTTGCTGTCCATGGAACGAGGAGTCGTTGCTTCTTTGTGATTTGCGCTTGGCTTTGTCTGGCTGTGTAGAGGATTAGGGGCATTCCGCAGGATAGCGGACCTACCATATTATTCGCTGTAAACTCAACTTTTCAACTTTTGGTGTTCTTATAAGGTCGTCGATTCTCAAAGTTTCAACTTTTATTTCCTTGGGTTTTGCCAGTGACCATAATTCCCATCAGCCCCATAACTAAACCCGAATCCCCCCAACCCTAAATCCCATGCCTCCTGGCTTATAGGCCTTAGTGGTTGCCGACCTTCTGGCGTTGGGGTGAGGCAAAGCGAAAGAGACCCTTGGTCAGGAATAGTTGTCAGGAATAGGTGAAGTTGTTGAGCTCTTTTCTTTGCTTTGCGCTTCGAGTTCGGGGTTTGAAGCCCTAAGCCTTACAAAACCAAAGCTGTTCACAAGCCCAGCCGGGAACCCTACACACAGCCAAACCCACCCAAGACCTTGACGCCCGAAATCCGGCAAAACTTGCTCACACCCAAGACAACCTGTCCTAAACCCATCAAAAACCCTTAACTCAAGAAGTCCAGTGTCCTAGAGCCCAAAAACCCATAGAAACCCTGAAGCCCAAACCATGTGTCTTAAATCATTGTCATCCGAATCCCACACTCTTAGGAAGCTTAGACTCTCTGAGAGCCCATACCCGCTGAGAGCCCACGAACCCCTGCAACCCACCCAGGGCGAAGAAAGCACCCCCCGCACAATGGAGCGCCGCCCGCACAAAGAGCACTTTTGAGGCCGGTTGTGATTTAGGGTTGAGGGCTTCCAAATCTTGGGATGTAGGACAGTATGATAAGGCTTCTAATCAGGGTCATCCCACTAGTCATAATTAATTGTGACAGTAGGAAGAACAGTGATGAGTGTAATCAATGTCTAATGATGATAGTTGCTTCAAAATGTTTAGGCCTTTAGGGGTTTAGGGCTGTTGGGGTTAACGTTTCGGGTTTTCGTTGCTGTGAGATTTTCCGCTGATCGTAGTACTAGAGTGGTGTCTTGATATCCAGGGTGCAGCGTGCAGGACTTATGCAGACATAGCAGGGACCCAGAGCCGCAAAGAGTGCACCTAGCTGCTGTCTCCCTCAGTATGATTACCTATCTTCCCACCTGCCTGTCTCGTTTGTTGTTAGGTTCTCCGGGCAGCCGTCCATTAACATTATTAATACATTCGGAGAGAAAGAGCTTATGAAGCACGGGGGTTGAACGGTCGAGAAGGAGCGAGGGAGCCACCGAGCGAGTGCATGAGCGCTTGCGAGTGAGTGAGAACACCACATACCAAATCCCGCAATCCCAACCCCCCTAAAGCCTCAACCTTAAACTAAAAACCCTAACCCCTACACGCCAAAACCCCCCTCAGGCCAACAGTGCTTACTGTAAAGCCTCGTTAGGAGCAGAGCATCGTCGGTGACCGCGCCGGCGCCCAGGGCGGCGGTGGCGGAGGAGGCGGCCCGTCCCTTCCTTTCCGCATTCGCCGGCACCTCGGAAGTCCGAGGGTTCGTTGTGTGTGGGGGTACTTAGAGGTTCATGGGTAGTTAGAAGTAGGGTTAGCCTTTAAAGGGATCTATAGGGTTATAGGGTTTAGGGATTAGGGTTTAGGGTATAAGTAGGGTTATCGGTCGTTGTTGTGAATCTTGGGACTCTTCCTTGAATGCCAAAGCTTAGCCGAACCAATGCGGTAGCCCAGTAAACCCTACTTAGAGGTTCATGGGTAGTTATAAGTAGGGTTATAAGTCCCCGAGTATGAGTTATAAGTATAGTTGCCCTACTTATAACCCTACTTATAACTACCCATGAACCTCCAAGTAGGGCTTCAACGTTTAGGGCTCAGGCTTTAGGGGTTTTGGGGGGGGGTTTCCTAGAAGCCCTCAGCTTAGAGCTCTGGAAGGGTTGCTGTGTTGGTTCTATGAGGGTTGAGAGTTCAATTTTTATGGTGTGAAAAATTCAGGGTTCGAGGACTTGGCGTTGTGGCATTCGGGTTTGGACTTCATGGTTCGGCATCGTGTCGTAGATGTGCAGCACAGGAATCGGAAGAATGAGTACTTATGCATATACTATTCTCTAGCTTCCGCACTAGTACTGTATCAGAAGATGCCCCCCCAAAACCTACCAAAATGATTCGGGCCCTTGTAGTGGGTGTCATGAGGGCACTGCGACTCTGCGGGATTCTTGAGCACCCCCATGTAATGAGCCCTCAATCCCACGCCCGCTGTTGCTTTCTTTAGGGTTTAGGGCTCATAGGGTTTATAATGTTTATAGTTATTAGGGGTCAGGGTTTAGGGACAAGGGTTTCCTAAACTCCTACACCTACAACTTCGTTCCGCAGCTCCTGTACTTGTAGACAAAGCCTTCAGCTTTTGAAGGCTTTGGTTTCTGTGGGTTGCAGGGGTCTTAGAAGGTGGTGCAATGGTTCAGTTCACATGGTGCGCTTGTTCATGGGGTTTCTGCCACTCAGGGACACTCAGGGTCGTGTTGCCGGCTTAGACGCTAGATCCCAAACCTCTCAACCCCTAAGCACACCCAGAGCAGCTTGAATCAACGGAAGTCGTAAGAATTCTGCTGAACCATGACACCCACCCAACAGCTTCATTCAACGCCAAACTTACACACATACAGCATGAAGAAGCTTCATCGAGAAGCAGATGCTGTACATTTTTGAGCCCTTAGCATTCCGTCCCCTCCGTTAATAAACCCTGAGATGCCTGCAGAAGTGGGAGTTCTGATGAAACCTGCTTCTCAAACGAACCCACCCAGGTGAGGTGAAGCTTTTCCCTCGGTCGATTGGGGCAGAGCCCGTCTTCAGCGTCGCAAAGCCGGGGCGCTCGGTTAGCTTGGGTAGATTGGGGTCCGCCAACAGCCCTTAACCAACCAAGAGATGCTGAACCAGGTACTCACCGGCTTCGCCCAGCCATTATTCCTGAGTTTACTCGGCTAGAAAATGATAATATGTTCCTGCAGGCATTAAGGGCCGGGTTGATAAGCAAGGCATCCTGCTTCCCCCACAGTCTCCTAGCTGCTATCCTAGCTGCCAGCACAGGAAAGCTTATCAAGACTTGAGCAGCCCAGCAGGGGCATACAGAGCACCTTTGCTAACACACCTGGCCCCTCACATCTTCAGCGAAGCGTCCCCCCAACAAGATTGGAGAAACACGTGCAGTACTGACTGTCGAGAGTGAACACCCACTGGGACCTTCCAAGCGTCTGCCCAGCAAGCACTAAGTATGTACCTCCAGAAAGTTGGCTTGACATTTTTATACGGTAACATACCCCAAAGCATTCATTAGCCGCAATCAGTCTAATTTACTAAGGCCCTAAAGACCTACAGCCTTATAGAACCGTTGGAAGGAACCCCTAAACGGAGCCGTCGTTTCCAACGCCATGCCGACGTCTGACTGAGGCCACGTTTGCTCGACTCGTGAGTGTGACGAACAGCAGAAGAAACGCATGCTTCCAGTGGTGCTCAGTGCTGGGACCTTTGGGTACTATCAAGTGTTATTGCAGTCGGTTATGTACTATGTAAGGACTACTAACGGCTGCTTTTCGAGTAACGTCGACAAGCGCAGCGCACGGGTTGTCTTAGATGACGCGATATCCATCACATTCCAAATATCCTGAAGTATGCATTCTTAACTTTGGGTCCCAAGCCCTAAACCCTACGCCCTCAACGTCCCATGATTACTTCGAGAGTAGTTATAAGTGGGGTTATAAGTAGGGTAACTATACTTATAGCTCATATTTGGGGGACTTATAACCCTACTTATAACTACGCATGAACCTCCAAGTAACGATTCAGCGTTCAGCTGCACGGTTAAGGGTATCCCCAAAAACCGCACCACCCGAAAAGGCATCACCCTCCCAAACCCTATCAGAAATAAATCTGGACAGGGCGGTCCCAGACGTAGGGTCAGGAAGTCGTCATCCTTCGTCTGCTAGACCCGGCTTAGGTTTTACGGTTTTAGGCTCTTAGCTGAGGTTTTAGGGCTTCAGGGTTGAATGTCACTGGCACTAGCAGGCCAAACTTTTTGTTATTGCCATATTCTAGGACTCAGGAGGTGAAGTGTTGCAGCATTGCGTGCGTTTCTATCCTGTGAGCTAGCCTTCTTCCATGGCCGGATACAGACTTTGCCATGCAGACGTGTGGGCATTGGGCACTCAAGGGCATCGTCATGAAGTTTTCATCCACTTATCAGGCTGTAAAGCTGTATGCGTCTACGTACATATGTACGTATCAAGTGTGTCTATGTATGTATGTATAGATGTAGCTATGTATATACACATAATAGGAAAATTTATGTGTATGTGTGTATGTGCATGTGGATGTGTATGTGTATGTGTATGTGTCAACATGTTTGTATATATATATATATATATATATATATATATATAGAGAAAGAAAGAAAGAGAGAGAGAGAGAGAGAGAGAGAGAGAGAGAGAGAGAGAGAGAGAGAGAGAGAGAGAGAGAGAGAGAGAGAGAGAGAGAGAGGAGAGAGAGAGAGAGAGAGAGAGAGAGAGAGAGAGAGAGAGAGAGAGAGGGAGGGAGAGAGAGGGAGGAGAGGGGGGGAGAGAGATAGTATTCATAGTGTTTCATGTCGGGGTTTCGCTTGTGGTCCTTATCTCCTGTCTTGGTTCCTTGGATCAAGATTGCTTGAACATTTCGGCGTGAGGATTAAAGAGAGGCCCTTCCCAAACAATCGGTCACTTTGCTGCATATTTCATGCTTAATGGTTTAGGGTTTAAGGGGTTTAGGGTTTAGGGATCAACTATTTGGGTGACTGGAGCTTTAGGGATGTACCTCGGCCCAACGCGCAAATGCACCGTCAGGGGTCGATGGGATGCATTGTTCCAGTCCTGTGGGTGCTTGTTGTCGAAAGTCAAGGTGCGTCATGAGAGCCTTAAACCCTAACCGCTAAACCGTACCAGTCGTCCGCCAAGGTGCCTTATGGTTGTCGTGACGTAGAGCTATACTAGGACTTAGGGCCTAGGGTCTAATTAGAGGTTGCGGGATTGGGCTGAGTAAGCACAGCAATCATTGAGCTCGATCAGCTCCGATTTCTCATTAAGGCGCTCTTTGAACATTGCAGGAACTCAAACTGACACCGACTCACTCAAGGGTTCCGATATTTGGATTCCAACAACCCACACAGAGTGCATTCGAATATGAGATCGTGTCACACCGTCGCAATCAGGAAAAAGCGCACGTGTGGGGGAGGACGTGAGTTTCGGCTTCACAGCTTTCAACGCCTCTTTATGCTTCGCCTGGACCCTACGCGGCCCTACACTGTACGTTTCAGGGTTTCGAAGGGGAAGTGCCGGCTGTCTTGGATCGTGCAACGGACTCCAACGTCTGAGCAGCTCAAGCGCGCTTAGTTAGCCCCGTTTTAGGCCCAACAAGCCCCCAATCCATAACAGCGAAAGCCTGCCCAAGCCCTCAAGTACCCTAAAACAACGGCAATCAGCACTCCTCTAAGCCCTTTTCCTCAATCGGGCATTGACGAGATGAGAGTGCTGGCAGAGAGGGTTTGGGCTTCGGCAGAGGAACTGGAATTTACACTCACGCCATGGCAGAATACTGAACCAGAACACGTCACTTTCTGTGGTCGCTTACGAGCCCCAAACTCAAAATCCTGAAGACCCCGAGAACGCAAGCCACCATGCCAACCTTAATGTGGCGGTCGGTTTAGTACTAGGGTACCCCCTCCCCCCCCCCGACCAAAAAGTTGCGGTCGGTTTAGTATGGAACCGGTAGCCCCGGACAGGGGTCAGGGGTCTGAGTGGCAGGGAATTGGGAGGTGCCGGGGTTTGGGGGCTGGCTTGGGTGCAGGGTCTGCGGTTCTGCGCGAATGCGCGGTCGGGGGTCGGGGGGGTCTGGGGATCACCAAATGCTGGAAACCAAGCCCCGATCACTCCAAGATTACTACCAAGACTAAAAACCCTTCATTTTGAACACTTTTGCCTCCCTAACCTACACTCCCACACCCCCATCCACAATCGACCACGTATGAAGCTTGGTGCGGTACAATAATAGTACAGTAGTACAATAGTAGTACAGTAGAAATGATACAGTAGTAGTACAGTAGCAGTACAATAATAGTGCAGTAATACAATAGTAAGACAACAGTAGTACAGTGGTAGTACAATAGTAGTACAGTAGTAGTACAATAATAGTACAGTAGTACAATAGTAGCACAATAGTAGTACAGTAGTAGTACGATAATAGTACCGTAGTACAATAGTAGTACAGTAGTAGTACAGTAGTAGTTTAATAATAGTGCAGTAGTACAATAGTAATACAACAGTAGTACAGTGGTAGTGGTAGTACAATAGTGGTACAGTAGTAGTACAATAATAGTGCAGTAGAACAATAGTAGCACAATATAGTAGTACAGTAGTAGTACAGTAGTAGTACGATTATAGTACCGTAGTACAATAATAGTACAGTAGTAGCACAGTCGTGGTACAATAATAGTGCAGTAGTACAATAGTAATACAACAGTAGTACAGTGGTAGTACAATAGTAGTACAGTAGTAGTACGATAATAGTACAGTATAGAACAATAGTAGTACAGTAATAGTACAGTAGTAGTACAATAGTAGTACTGTAGTACACCAGTAGTACAGTAGTAGTACCACAGTAGTACAGTAGTAATACAGTAATAGTACAGAAGTGGTACCAATAAGCAAAGCATAAAGCCAGTGAGCACATTCCCCCAATAAGCAAAGCATAAAGCCAGCGCCTGAAACCCTAAACCCTAAACCTTAACAAACCCTAAACCCTAACGAATCCTAAACTCCTAAGCTTCCTAAACCCTATAACAAACCCTAAACCCGAAGCCCTAAACCCTTCCAAAGGGGGGTCGGTCCAGATTCGACCCAAAACTTCATTTTTTATACAAACTTTAGTACTGGAGAGGCCTCTTTTGAGCTAGGGTCCAATCCCCGATTCGGCGGTTCACCCTAGCAGCCCCCCAGCCCCCGTGGCCGGCTTAAACAGGATATAGTCGCCAGCTGAAACTGTGGGTTTTCATTGCATACTATAGACGTAGGTATATCGCGATTGTACTGGACCGACGTCTCTCTATACATACTCAATACAAGTATAGAATCTTTCGTCTCGCCTCATCGACATTGGTGGGGCTCCTTGGAATGTAGACAGACGGATCAAGAAAGGGTGGAGATTCCCCCAACCCTCAACGAAAACACGGAGAAAGTCCCTCCAAATCATTCAGCTGATTCCTAGCAGCGAGCTCCTCTACCTCCCTGTAAGTCTCCATCTCCTCTGACGATAAATGAAGGGAGCTCGCTGCTTCGTCATCCGCAAGTCCGCAAGAAATGAGCTTCTTATCCCCAAAAGGGTAAGGAAGAAGTCCCTTGGCACATCCTCTACCGCAGCATCTCAAAGGAGCAGAGAACCCTTCCAACTTACGGGAAAAAAAGAACTCCGGCTGCCTCTCAGTCGACAAGAAGAGAGAGGAGCTCCTTGTCGTCCCCTCTTCCTCCTCAAGGGATAGAAGAGAGATAGCTTTCAAGAAGTGAGGACTGAGCTGTCCGGGTTTCGTGTGCGATGCTGAAATGTCGTGGCTGAGCCCGCGCTAAGGCCAACGCGGCCGCCGATCGTTCTGATCGATATGCGGCTTCCAGGCCAGCGCTTCGAGCGAGAAGTCGCCGGCAGACTCTTCGGCGGCTTGGTCTCAATCTTCACAAGAAGAGTCTGATCCTCCCCCTAGCCTTCAATAAGACATGAGCAGCCCTCTACCCCATCCTCTGAACTAGCTTCCAAAAAAATCCTCTGCCTCATCCTCGACAAGAAGAGACTAAGAGCAATCTAAAGGGGCAGAAGAAAGCGCCATCTCAACAAAGCAAACAGGCCGCTCCAACTTCACGAGAAAGAAGAGGGCTCCGTTTACCCCTCGGCAAGAAGAGACCTCCTTTCTTTCTTGAAAAGGGGAGGACGCTCAAGAAGAAAGGGTGGAGCTCCCCCAATTTTCAAGTAGAGACATCTGGTCATCCCTCAGCATTTAAAAGGAAAGGACCTCATGCTCCAAAACACAAGAAGGGAGTCCCAAGGTGATTTGTGGCAACAGAAGAGAGCATCCTTCTTACCTCTTGGTATGTCGCCTTTTCGTCTTAAGAAGATTGAGGAGACCTCGCTCCTAGCAAGAAAGGATAGAGCTCCCCTATTTTCCAAAAAAAAGATTTTCTACCTCATCCTCCACAAGAAATCACTGAGAGCTTCCTCCCACCATCTCCTCTGACGATAAATGAAGGGAGCTCGCTGCTTCGTCATCCGCAAGAAATGAGCTTCTTTTCCCCAAAAGGGTAAGGAAGAGATCCCTTGGCACATCCTCTACCGCAGCATTTCAAATGAGCAGAGAACCCTTCCAACTTCACGGGAAAAAAGAACTCCGGCTGCCTCTCAGTC